CAGCAGGTAATTCTAGAGTGTATAGAGTGAGGATGAGATCTACATGGGGGAGGGAGTGACTGGCAGTGGTGGGACACTGTTCATATATAGGAGGAATGAACCAAAGACATTAACTTATTGAGGATAATGAAATTTCTCATTAAATAATGTGATTTCGCATCAGTTTTCTCATTAATATGGAAGGAAGTTACTAATATGGAAAGGGAGAAAAACTAGCATGATCCCTAGGGTGGCAGACTGAAATAGAAATCTAAGGTAGTGGTGTGAACTCATGGTTTTCTTGCATACAGATGGATATAGAAATAAATATAGAGGTAAATGTTCATAGTTATATATTTCTTTTTATGCATATACTTACTCCCTACCGATGTTTGAAAGCAGTGATAGCCTAATACAATGTGTATACTTAGGACTCAAATCTTAATTTCTAAACACCATTCCTCACTAAAATGGACCAGGACTCTTGGAAGATACATTTGAATCAAAGGCTAAGGAAGGGAAAGTACAAGAAATGCCCAGTTCACTTTCCTGAACCAGAAAGTGATGAAGTGGTCAAAGAATGATGGGTGCATTACAAAGGACATGAAAGCCAATTAGAAGAGGCTTATACTGAGATAATATAATACTCAAGAGAAATATTTGACAGTGGGACTGGCAGGCGGCATGGTGGTTAAGGCATTGGATGCCCACGTGGACCACCACAGTTCAAGTCTCAGATTTTGGAGGCTCACTTTCTCAATCAATCTCTCTCTCTCTCTCTCTTTTCTGCTTCTCTCTCTTTCTCTGGTGACTGCATGTGCCCTAGAGTAAATTAAAATAATCATAATACTGGGTTGTTAGAAAAGTCATGACACATTTTTGCACAGAAAAACAGAAAAAAATATGTCATGACTTTTCCAACACCCCAATAATAATATTTTTTTAAAAAATTTAAATAAATAATTCTTTAAAAAAAGAAATATTTACAGTAAGGGATATATAATACTTTCGTATAAAACCAACCAAATAAAATATGAAACAACAGTTGATATACAAAGATCCAGGCACTGTGGCACATACCTATAATCCCAATTACTCAGGATAATGAGAGGAGGATGAGTAGAAGGCCAGCTTGGGTAACTAATTAAGACCTTGTCTTTGAAAAAATCAATTAAAAGTTTGATAACAGGGGCGAGCTGGTGGCATAAGATTAAGGTGACTAGATCCTACATAGCCAACTCCACAGTTTAAGCCCCAGACCCGATGATTTGAAAAACACACTGGGAACATATGCGAGTGTTTCCAAAATCTTGAGAGGAGACTGAAGAAGGGACTATCACGTGGCCATTTCCCAGGGTCTGATTTCTCACTTTCCCTCTCTCTCTGGTGAGTGCACACGCCCTATAGTGAAATACTAAAATAAAAAAATTTAAAAAATAATAAAAAGAAAATTGAATGGGTTCTATTAATATTAGACACAGCAGATTTCAGAGTGTAAATATTACTAAAAGTAAAGAGGATCATTTCATAATAATAAAGGACATAGCACTCTTTTTTTTTTTTTTTTTTTGAGAGCGAGCGAGAGATTTTTACTACAGGACATATGCGCTTTCCAGAAAGAGAGACATATAGAAAGATCGCCCTCCCGGGGGCAATGGCTACACCACAATCCCTTCTCCTCCATTCTCCTCTTGGGATTTTCGGCACACACACATGCACTCAGCATGAGTTTAAAGCCACCAGGCCCGGGACTCAATGGAGGCCAATTATGTGAGAGTCCAGCAATGTAACCATTATGCTATCTACTGGTCCCACAGGACACAGCACTCTTAAATGTTTATGCACCAAATAACCAAGCTTCAAAATATATTAAATAAAAACTAATGGAACTGGAAAGAAAATTCAAATCCACAACTATAGCTAGAGATTTCCATAACTCTTCTCAATAACTGATAGGACAAATAGACCAAAATTAAATTACAATAAAAATATAGGAGACTTGAACTCTACAAGTCAATTTCAACTAATATTTGTGGAACTCTTCAGCCAACAACAGCAAACTGTACATTCGTTCAAGTTTATAAGGAACACTTTCCCAAAAGAAGACCCTATTCAGAGGCATAAAAACAAGTATCAACAAAGCTAAAAAGATCTGTATCATATAACAAATGTTCTCTGACTACTAAGGAATTAATATGGAAATCAATAATAGAAAGATATCAGAAAAGTAAGCAAATATTGGAAATAAGAATATAGACTTCTTAATAACCCATACATCAAAGATGATATTAAAAATGAAGTTAAAAATTATCTTGAACTTTTTTAAATGAAAAGAAAATACAGCTTATCAAAAATTGTGGAACACAGATAACACATTACTCAGGGAAATTTACAGTACTAAATGCCCATATTACCAATGGAAAAGATTTCAAGTTAATGACCTCAGTTTCCAACTTCACAGCTCAAAACAGAAGAGAAAATTAAGTACAGAGTAATCAGAAGGAAACAAAACTGATAAATCTAGAAATCAATGAAATAGAAAACAGAAGGGAAAAAAAGAGAAATTGATTAAATTAAAGCTATTTCCTTGACAATATCAATAAAATTGAAAACTTTTAGCCAAAGTGGGAAAAAAAGCATATTCAAGTTATCATTATCAGAAGTAAGAGTACAACACTGCAAATTTTACAGATCTGAAAAGGATAATGAGAATATTATGAGTAAATTTATGCCAATAAATTTAAAAGTAAGATGGACTTACAAATTCTTTGAAAGACACAAGCTACCAAGGCTCACTGAAGAACAAACAGATAACCTGAAAATCTATTTAAGAAGATGCATTTACAACTAAAAACCTTGTTACAAAGAAAATTCCAGGTTCTAATGGCTTCATTTATTAATTCAACTAAAATTTTAAGAAAGAGTTCTACATAAGCTCAACCCAAAATGGAAAATGAGAAAATACCTCAAACTCATTTTATGAAACCAGCTAGTTTTGTTTCAGACATCAGCAGTTTACTTCTCTTTGATACATATATATTGAATTATAAGTTTTTTCAATTATTTAAGAAATCTTTCAGTTCTGTGTCTGCCTTAAAGTTAAAACTTTTCCAGTTACTGATGCTTTCTTATAAATGAGCTGTAGGGTATTTTTCTGTACAGTATGGAAATTTCCACATACTAAGATTAGCCTTCAATAGGTTTGCAAAAGTAATCAAATTTTAAATCAAATTTGATGTAAAATACTCCTTTGCTTTTAAAGTGTAGGAGTGTGTGTATATACACACATGTATTTCATTAAGGTAAATACGCTTCAGTTTCCCTTAAACAGAAGGATAAAATCCACCAATTACTTTGTTATGAGATATATCTACAAGCATTATTTAAATTTGAAAAATACCCAGAGAGGAACCAGAAGATGGCATAATGGTTACATCGCTGGACTCCCACATACTTGACTGTGGTTTGATTCCTGGATTGAGTGGCTTAAAACTCATGCCAGGCGCATGTGCATGCAAGCCCAAAATCCTCAGAGGAGAATGGAGGAGATGGGAATTGTGGTGTTGCCATCCCCCTGGGGGGTGATTTCTCACTTTGTCTCTCCAGCACATACACCCTATAGCAAAAATCTCTCTTTAAAAAAAAAAAACAGAAGAAGAAAAATACCTACAGAAGATGTTTCATTCTTACAAGTTAAGCATATTTGAAGATTAATCAAACTTTGTTTAATGGTCACTTTTAAGAATAATGTGTACTCTTTGACTTTAATATTTATTATTTGCTAGGCAAATGGTATTACAGTCTAAGTCTTTTGAAGATTTTATATATAAGCACATTTTTTCCTAGTGAAAATATATCAAGTCCTCAATTAAGAAACATCTTATTATAATATATAGGATCATATATTTGGAGAAAAGATTATTTTTAAAAAAACATAAAGTGCTAGCTCCATGGCCTAATGGTTAAAGTAGCTGGATCCTACATAGCTTAACTGTGTCTTTCAAATCCTGGTGGCAGCCTATAAAATATGCCAGGCGTGTGTGTGTATATGTGTATGTGTGTGTATGTGCCCAAAATCACAATGGAGTGCAGAAATGGAGGATAAGGGACTTGAGAGTGACCATGCTCCACTAGGCTGTCTGTTTCTTTTTTTGGTGAGCACACATGCCCTCTGGTGGGTTACAAAAAAGTATTTTAGATAATAACAAAATATATTCTCAAAACAATCTGATATTCTCCAATTTTTACATTATGTTAAGACAAATTACATCATACAATGTATAACATAACACATAACGTATACTACATAAGCATACCGTGTCTTGCTTTGGTATTTGGACTAAGACAGAAAGAAGCTGCTCTGTATCAAGAAATCTTGATATAACTGAAAGAAAACAAACAACAAAGGCAAATATTTAAATTTATGGTACAGTTGAAAATACAGACTATGTAAAATTTTAAAATACTATCCTCAAATAATAAAATACAACAGTTCTACCTGCAAAAATTATTTGTTTAAGTTTCTTTGTTATCTCTTAAATCAGAAATAAAATAATAAATGCTAGTGTTCTTTTCTTAATTATAATCACTCAGAATCTCTCCTCAAAATTTGACACTGATGGTCCAACCAAAGTGGCACCAGCAGGAAGGCACCATTGTGTAATGCCTGGAGTCACCTGGAAAGCTCAGGTTTGGTTTCTGGTCCAAGTTTAAACAGGCTGGGTGAGATGTCATCCTAGTAGACTGGGAGGCTGAGATAGGAGAAACATGATGAGATCCTGTCAAAAATACCTCTTTTTCTCTCCCTCCTGTGCATTCTCATTCAAAAAAAGGAAAAAGAAAAAAAAGCAAACAAAAACAAAATGCTGTTAACCTTTCTTCTTGAAATGACTTCTCTAACTTTTGGATGTTGCCTATCATAACTTCCTTCTGTCTTTTATCTCTACTTTTTTCCTTAGTACTTAAAAATGCTTAGAAAAGCATAGTTCAACCAATTAACCATGTTTCTTTATTGGAAGTTACCTAATTTCTCTAAAGTTGAATTATTTTTTCTAGTTATGCTATAAGGTGTGTGTGTGTGTGTGTGTGTGTGTGTGTGTGTGTGTGTGCCTGCCAGAGACACAAAGAGAGAAGGCACTGCCTAATGGGGCATGGTCAGACTGTAATCCCTTCTCCATTTCTCCATCCTGTTGAGATTTTGAGCATGCACACACATGTGCCTAGAGTATTTTTCAAGCCTCCAGAGTCAGGATTTGAACTGTACAGAAGGCCATTTGAGATCTGGCTCCCCTAACCACCACGCCATGGGGCTAACCCTAATTGCTCTTATTTTTTTTCTTTTTTAAAGAATTATTTATTAAGTTTTATTTATCATTATCATTATTATTTTCATTTGTTATAGGCCATGCACACAAGAGAAAATACGTCACCAGGTTTGAGATCGCAATGCTATTGGCTATGTGGGAGTTCAGCACCTTAACCACTATGACACCTGCTGGCCCCAATTTGTTCTTATCTTTTAAATGTAAGTAACATCCACTCCCCAGGGTTGTTATAAAGATTAAGTGAAATAAAATATATATAAAGCACCATGCATATACTCAAAAATTCTTACTTTATTCTTAGCTCATATTCTAGATTAAAGTGCTCTACGAAAGTAAATTTATAGATAATCGTAATATTTCTCTTTCAAATCTCCAGGTTTTTTCCTTTACCATTTAACACAAGGATATTTTTAAAATGCACTCATTTTCCAGTACTTACAATACAGTAAATTACAGTAACTATTTCTTAGTGACTCATAGTTATTACCATTATTATAATGTCTGACCTCAAAAGTTTTTTGTTTGTTTGTTTTTTCAAGATAGGGTCAGGGCCAGCACGTGATGTGGTAGGTAATGTGCTGGATCCCACAAGACTAACTCCACGGTTCGAGCCCTGGACCTGGCAGCTTGAAAACACATTGGGCACATGTGCATGCATTCCCAAAATCCCAAAAGGAGAATGAAGAAGGGACTGCAGCATGGCCATTTCCCTTGGGGGATGATTTTTCACTTTCCCTCACTCTCTGTAGAGAGTTAATGCACCCATTGGCAAAAATTTAAAGAAAAAGAAAAGAAAAAAGTCAGGGTCTTGCCATGTTGTTATTCTCCTTTCTCAGCCTCCCAAGTGGGACTACATGCACTTTCCACCATGACCAGTTTTTTTTTTTTTTTTTTTTCCTCACTATGCCCTTGCCAGCCACAAGCTCACAATCCTCCTGCCTCACCCTCCTTGAGTTGCTGGGATTACTGGTACACATAGTACCATGCTCAGCCTTTAGGTTGAACTCGGAATAAAACTGGGTTTCCCATGTGGTCCAAGCCTGTGGAGTTTTACATCTTAGCAGCTTACGCCACTGCAACTGGGCCCTTCAAAAGTTTCTATATAAATTTATTCAGGCTTTTACAAAGTGGTCCCAAACTTTTATCCCTTTTAAAAAACACAAAAGTCTGGTTACTATCTTTTTTCCTGCTCAATTGCCAGGTAAATTTTGATAGTTTTCAATTTGTATAGTTCTAGAACTGTGCTCTTTTTTAAATTTACTGCTTCTACAGTAATTGTATTAAAGCTGTGTTTAAAAATTAAAGTAAATAGACCACTCTTATACTGTTCATTATGTTCAGTATGACATAATACGATTATGACATTTCACATATGATTCCACTAGTCACACACTCTTAAGCCCTAACTTAGGTTAGTCTTTTCTCTCCAGTCTCTTCCTTCTTTCTTTCCTCAAATCTATCAGTACAACCAGAATAATATTCTGAGCATGGTGGTGCCTGTCCTGTGACAAAAACAACCAGAATAATATCTAAGATAAGAATTTGATAATATTACTCTCTACATTCAAAATTTTTAGCTCTCTGTTGCTTAAGGAGAAAAAGTCAAACTCCTCTGAAGTTTATAAAGATCCTTCATAAGCTGGGACCAGCAGTTAGCGTAATGGCTATGTCACTGGACTCCCACGTAGTCAACTGTGGTTTGAGTCTCGGACCCAGTGGCTTAAACTCACACCAGGTGTGTGTGCGTGCGTGCCCAAGATCCCGAGAGGAGAATGGAGGAGAAGGGATTGCGGCGTGGCCATCCCCTCCGGGGGGGGTGATTTCTCGCTTTCTATCTCTCTGTCTTTCTCTGTCTGTCTGGTGAGTGCACAAACCCTATAGCAAAAACCCCTCAAAAAAAAAAATCCTTCATAAGCTAACCACAACCCAAATTTCTTGTGATTCTCCAAAACTTCAAGTCATAAATATTAGTCATACCTCAAATATAGCTAGATCTTTTAAATCAACATAAGCACAACTGCAGACTCTTACACTAAACCTACCTTCACCAACTTCCCAGAAAAACAAGTATGCCCTAGATAGCAATGACTTTCAAAATCATAGCCAATGGCATACTTACCAGATCTTTATCCTAGTCCCTACATCCAAAAAGCATTTTTGTTACTCCAATACACATCAACATACCTTGTACAGGCATGTTCCCTTTGTCGAATATCACTGCTAGGATTCTCCCATTGCCTATTCATTCTCTTAAGACAGAGTTGGAATATTATTCCTGCAAATCCAACTCAGCCCTAGAAGATTTACTCTAGAAAATCCACAGCTCACAGTCCAAGAAATGGCTTCCTAAAGCCAAATAAAGCAGTTCCAATGACAGTAAATGAGCAGTCTCCTTCCCTTTATATTGGGACAGTTCCCTTTTCTGTATGTTTCTGGCCTGACACTAAGCAAACTGTGGAAACAGCAGATTGCACAGGTTGAACAGCCCAACAGAGATGCATGCAGAGAAAATCAAAGAAGAAACTGCAAGGATGAAAGAGAAGCCCTTTGAAGGCATGACCTCCTTACTGCACTCGTCAAGAAAGAATATAAACACAAGAGACAGAGATTTCAAAGACCGCATTCATAGACAGAGGTTGACCCAATCAAAGATGAAAAGAAAATCATCAGCAAATTGTTCATGCCTGGAAATACTATGGTGATTTATAGAGTTCAGCTGTGCACAAAAATGATGAGAATGAGGACTCAGGAATAAATGATATTTAAGAAACTATTGAGAAAAGCTTACGAATTCAGAAGCAAAGGTTATGAGACCTAAGAAACTATGTCAAAGAAAAGCAAGATGAACAAAGAATGAACTGGACTCTATGGAGAACTACTATAAGGACCAGTGTTCATTGCTGGCACAAGCCATGTCACAGGAACATCAATAACTCAAAGCTAGAGAGAAATCCCAGGCCCAGATGTTGCATAAGGCAAAAAGGGAGCTGCGATCTAAGATGGAGAAAATTGAGCAACTGCAGTACATAATAACAAAGAATGATGATGGCGCTTTCTTCTGGAGTTGGAGGCTGAGCACTTTAGATAACAACTTCAGATGACTTCCTTTCACTACACTTAAAAACCCCTTTCCATGAGTACAGACTTCACAGGTAAAGTTACTGGAGGCCTTTTTGGGGACAGAGCTAAAACTGATGCAGTAAATAGTCTAAAACAGAAGAATCTTTTTTGTTGGGGATACTATACATGTTATCATCAACAGACAACAATCCATTTCTATGTACTATAAATACTTTGCCTCTCTATTTTCACTTTAATTTCTTTCCTCACACTTTCAACTTCTCTCACCCTCTTCCCATATGTCTCCAGTATCCACAACCATTTTCCATACCTCTAATCTTTCAGTTTTGGCTCTAGAGTACAGACAGTCAGTATATATTAGGTGGAGACATATAATGTCTCTCTTTCATAGCTTGGCTTACTTCACTCAGCAGTAAATCTTCCATATTCATCCACTTCCTACCAAATGCCAGGACCTTGTTTTTTATGGCTGAATAGTATTCCATAGAGTATATGTGCTTTTCAATCCATTCAACTGTTTATGGACATTTGGATTGGTTCCATGTCTTACCAATTTTGAATAATGCCACAATAAACATAGATGTACAAGCACTTTTCCAACTGAGCATTCTCCTATCCTGCGGATAGATACTCAGGAGTGGAATTGCTGGATCATATGGTAGTTGTATTTGCAAATTGCTGAGGAACCTCTATATTGTTCTCCACAGTGGCTGGACCAATTGACATTCCCACTAACAGTGAAAGAGAGTTCCCCTTTCACCATAGCCCCACCAACACTTATCATTTTTTTTAATCTTTGCCATTCTGACTAGGGTTAGGTGATATTTCAATGTGGTTTTGATCTGGATCTCCCTTATGATGAAGGATGCCGAACATTTTTCCATATGCTTTTTGGCTATTCATATGTCTTCCTTAGAGAGGTTTGTTTGTTTTTTTTTTCTGCTTTTATTCTTCTATCTTTTAATTGGGTTGATTTTTTTTTCTTCAGGTAAGCTGCTTGAGTTCCCTATGTATTCTGATTATCAGTCCCTTATCTGAAGCATAGTTTACAAAAATATTCTCCCATTCTGAGGGTTGTCGATTCACACTAATCAGTGCGTATTTTGCTATGCAGAAACTTCTGGTGTAATCACACTTGCCTACTTTGGGAATTATTGCCTGTGTTTTTAGGGGTCTTATTTAAGAAATTTTAGCCTACCCTATTGTCTCCCATAGTTTTCCCAGTGTTTCCACCAGTAGTTTTATAGTTTGAGATCTTACGTTTAGATATTTGATCCACTTTGAGTTGATTTTTGGTGAAAGATAGGGGTCAATATTTATCTTTCTGCAGGTGGATAGCCAGTTTTTCAAGCAACATTTGATAAAGAGGTTTTGCTTTTCCCACCAGACTGACTAGTACTCTGTCAAAAATCAGTTGGCTGTATGTTTTGGGGTTTATTTCTGGGTCTCTACTCTGTTTCATTGGTCCACATGTCTGTTTTCATGTCAATACCATGCTGGGTTTTGTTTTGTTTATTAACAGAGATTTTTGCTATAGGGTGTATGTGCTCACCAAAGAGACAGACAAAGACAGAGAGTCATAAAGTGAGAAGTATCTCTCCAAGGGGGATGGCCACACCACCATCCCTTCTCCTCCATTCTCCTCTCAGGATTTTAGGCACGTACACACATGCACCTGGTGTGAGTGTAAGCTGTCGAGTCCAGGACTCGAACCACAGTTGACTATGCAGGAGTTCAGCAATGTAACCGTTATGCCATCTGCTTGTTCTCCTTTCTTGCTGTTTTGATTATCACAATTTTGTAATATATTTTGGGGTCAGGGAGTGAGATGCCTCCTACTCCACTCTGCTTGTGCAGGATTGCTTTGACAACATGGGGTCTTTTATGATTCCAGACATACTCTATGATTGCCTTTTTTAAGTTTGTGAAGAATGTTTCCAGTAATATGATCTGGATTGCATTAAATATGTAGATATTAATTTGGGTAGAATTTCCATCTTGATTATATTAATTCTTCCAACCCAGGAACGTGGGATGTCCTTCCACTTTTTTTGTTTCATTTTCATTGTAAAATGCTTTATGTATTCATTCCAATACTTTTAAATAATTTTTTAAATAAAAATAGCTTCCTTAAAAGAAAAAAATAATTAGATGATATCCATTTACCTGACTGGAGTCCAAAAAAGAGTTCCTCATCTTGAAGTAGTTCTTGAACACAATCTAATCTCATGTTAATGGTTTCAACATCAATCAGAGGTTCTAATATATTAGAACGAAGTCTTCTACTCCCTCCAGGAGTTTTGGTATAATTCAGAACACCAAAGAGAGTGTGATTATTCCTTTAAAAATACAAGTTAGAAAATTTCATGAAGCATACAGAGGAAAAAACAAGAAAATTAATTTTACTTTGTTATTAATTAATCCTATAATCTAGAGCAATAATGCTCAAATTTTACTGTGCATACAAATTACTTGGGGAGTCTCAGGTCAGTTAGTGGTACCATAGTAACATAACAGTAACATAACTGGACCCATATGGAAAAGGCCCTAAATTTGCATCCTGCGACCTCCCTGAGCACACTGGATGTGTATACATCTGTGATCTAAATTGATCACAGCATAAGAACTCTGTTAGGGTGCCTGTCTCTGCCTCTCTCTCTTTTTCTCTTTCTCTCTTTCTCTCAACCTCTCTTTCTGTCATGGAAGAAATAATTAGAAAATGTGTAAAAAAAAATTACATGAAGATTCTAATTCATTTGATCTGAGATGAGGCTTGAGAATCTAAATGTTGAACAAACTCCTAAGGATGCTGTCAGTCAATGAACCACACTTTAACATTTGACTATATCACCTTGTACTTAGTTAAAGGCATTTTTTTCTATATGTCAGTTATAACATTCAGACTAATATAGAATTTCCTAGTTCATGACATTTCATCAATAATAGCAAGATATCTATAATATACTCATAAAGGAGGAAACTTTTATATTGATAAAGTCAATATTTATCTTTAAACTTTTTGCCATAGCATGTGTGTGTTCACTGGAGAAAGACAGAAAGGGACAGTGAGAAATCACCCCACACACACACACACACAAGAAGGATGGCCACACCATGATTTCTTCTCCTCCATTCTCTTCTCAGGATTTTGGGTAAGCATGCACACATGCCCAGCATGTTTTTAAGCTGCTGGGTCCAGGACTTGAATTATGGAATTGGCTGTGTGGGATCAATCACCTTAACTACTATGCCACCTGCTTGTCCAGATAAAGTCAGCATTTTTATAATACAATTGCTTTGTTCTCATTTAAGAAGTTAGAGAAGAGAGGAGAGGCAGAAGGGAACAGAACAGCCCTTCTTCAAGAACCAGCTCCATGGCTCCTGGGAGCTAGCCATTTTGGGGGAAACGGAGGAATGAAGAGGTCCCACTGATAATTCAGCCTCCAGTATAGAAAACTCGCGTGGAGAGGCGGAAGGGAACAGAACAGTCCTTCTTCAAGAATCAGCTCGATGACTCCTGCGATCTAGCCATTTTGGGGGAAATGGAGGAATGAAGAGGTCCCACTGATAATTCAGCCTCCAGTATAGAAAACTCGCGTGGAGAGGCGGAAGGGAACAGAACAGTCCTTCTTCCAAGAACCAGCTCCATGGCTCCAGCGATCTAGCCATTTTTGGGGAACTGGAGGAATGAAGAGGTCCCACTGATAATTGAGCCTCCAGTATAGAAAACTCGCATGGAGAGGCGGAAGGGAACAGAACAATTTTCAAAACACTGGGTTCAGAACTCTAACCATGTAGTGAGAACAGCCCTTCTTCAAGAACCAGCTCCATGGTTCCTGCGATCTAGCCATTTTGGGGGAAACGGAGGAATGAAGAGGTCCCACTGATAATTCAGCCTCCAGTATAGAAAACTCGCGTGGTAGGAAGACTCCCCTCAGGCCTCCTCTCTCTGTATCTGTCTTTGTCTCTCTCTACCTCTGTCTCTGACTACTCTCTCTTTTTTTTTTTAGTTTTTGCTTTTTAGAATTTTGTTTAAGGTGAGGCATATTTCTGGGCCTGTTGGCCCCACCTAGCCCTTTATCTTGTTAATAATTCCCTCTCCCACTCCCCACCCAGGAGAGGTGGAAGGGAACAGAAGAGCCCTTCTTCAAGAACCAGCTCCATGGCTCCTGTGATCTAGCCATGTCTAAGCTTTGTTGTCTGGTTTTAAGGATTTTTGTCCTGTCTTGAGTTGTCAATGGATTCATGTACCTACTATTTGAACAGAATACTAACCTGTTTCTAGGCCTTAAGTTTCAAGGAAATATCCTTACCAGTTCAAAACTGCTTTTCTTGAAACCATCAGCTGAACTTGCTATTGTAAGTAGTTAGATTACTTATGATATTGTGTGATCAACAAAATGTTGGGGGAAAAGGAATTGA